CTTTCAGATTTCAGAGTCTTAGGCAGTGGACTGAGGAAATCTCTGGCAAGCTCTGAGCTAGATCCACCACCAGCTCAGGGAGGGTGCCAGATCCTGACACAAAATTACTAATTCTCTACTGATCCTTTGATCTCCTACCTGAATGAAGGGAGTCCTCTTCTTCACTAGTGGATTCTACCACCCTCTCCTTGAGAATTTGCTCTGTGTTGAGAGCACCTGCCTGCTCACTCAGTTCAAAGGCAGCCATAACCCTTTATGACTGGCAAGATGTGGCATTTAAAGTAATGTCCAGTCTTAAGAGTTGCCTCCTCATAACTGCTGATTATCTGTTACTGCTGCCCTGAGCTGGGGCTCAAGGGCTGGGAAATCTGTTGGTGCTACCCTGCCCTACCATTCACCCAGCTCACTTGACTGCCAACAGGAAGTGCTGTTTGGCCAGTTTCTTCCCATTTACCCATGCCTCTTTTGTCCCTAGACCAAATGTGTTTACCTCTCTGCTTTGCCAACTTAGCCAGCAGCTTTAGCCAACCAGGCCATCTGGCCCAAATGTCTCCTGACCATTCTGTCTCAATAATGGCTTTTACACCCTGAACAGGAGTCTGTATTTTGTCCCAATTTCCTCCTAAGTTCCTGTAGAGGTTACTCCAGTCACTCTTAAGGGGAGGGAACAATAGTTGTTATAGAAGCATTTGCGCTTTATATAAAGATTAAAAAGAATTTGCTTTTATTTCCCAAAGTCGGTCTCTGGGGTTGAGACACTTGAACTCAGGCAGAGGCACATGACTGGGCAGAGCTGCCCCGAGTTTAGGGGCCTATCCTTGCATCTCACTTAGACCTCGGAATCTCCTCTGTAAATTCCACCTGCCTAGTTCTCCACTTTCATCCTATCTCTCTTCCCACATCAGAGAGGAAAAGCTCTTTGTTGAAAAGGAAGAGAAAACAAAGCATCTTATTTTCTTTTAAAAAAATTTTAAACCATGGAAAAGATATTTTTAAAGAAATCCACCCAGAACGTTAAAGTTCATTATATTAAGTATTTATCATGTGTGAAAATAAGTATATAACTGCAGCTAGTAGGTCTTTTTCCCTAATCTCTTAGGTTGTATGAGTAGGGTTTGCTTGGTGCCAGTCCTATGCCCTTTTCTCTCCTGTCATCTGTAGTTGCGATCAGAAAAAATATCCACACTGCACTGTCAGAATCTCCTTTCACTATGTTGTGTGTTAAATTACCGTAGTTCTTTGTTTCATGAAATAAACTGTGAATTTTTTTCGTGGTGGGGGTGTGTGCAGGCTATGTAAAAATTTGTAAGTGGGGAAGTTTGATCCTGAAGTAGCTTCTCTGAAGTAGGCTTTGGTAGGTAATTGACTTGACAGCCACTCTAGATATGTCTCACAGGACCGGAAGGAGGGAAAAGTGGGCCATGATTGGCCACTTTATGGTTTTGTTTTGGTCCTTTCCATTTTCTACCACTCACTGAAAACTTCCTTCCAGACCTGCCTGGGGAAACAACTTCTGAGCTATTCTTGGTTTAGGAGGTAGGAGGCAGTTCTTTATCTAAATGGATGGAGCACCAGGCTTTCCTGGGGGTCACTGAAAGACTCTCAGGTTGAACAGATCCTAGAAATTCAACTGTCAGTCCCACTTGATCGCAGCATCTGATTCTAGATTGTTAACATCTTAACATCATGAAAGCAGTCACTGTACAATTAGAAGCACAATCAGGACTGTTGAGAACTGAAATTGTGTGATGCTGGGAAGAGAATGACCTTGCCAGCCCTTGAGGACTGTCCTGGAGCCTATACTAAGACCTTTTCTCCAGGGAGTGTGAGTTGGCAATTAAAAGGTAATCTTTTCTCTTAGAAATTCTTGATCTTTATGCAAGATGGTATTTTGATATTTAGCTAAGTGCTTGGAAATCAGGATCTCAGGAGAGTCGGCCTCTAAGCCACTCCCCCAGGAAGCCTTTCCCAGGGGGAAGCCATAGCTTCCATAGGTAGCTAGAAAACAAATACCTCTCCTAGCCCTGTTAAGTCAGGAAAAAAAAAAAAAAATTATGGTAACTGTTAAATTCAAAGCCTCATTTGCTTCTACTGAAGCCAACCCATTGTAATAGCAAAATAGTTCTCACTGCTGTAAAAGTATCCAGGTTTTTAAATGTCTGCTTCCCCCTAAAGTTACTGAGTTTGAGGTGATTTAAATCACTATGTTGATCGTCTTCTGAACAACTACCAAATCTCCATCTTTGGCATTGAAGGAAATAATTGTATTCTTCATATCTTCTACCCCACACCACGGTCTGGGCATGAAGTGCATCAGTGATTTTTTTCACAGGTTTGGCAGCATCTACTCGCTGGTGCTGGACTCCCAGGTTGCCTTGTGAAAGCACAGTGGCAGGAAGGAAGTCTGGTCCGGGTAGCTTCCCCTGTGGAGAGGAATTAGGAGAGCACTAATCGTGGACAGATTTTGGCCTCAGCTCCTACAAAGCAGTTTTTCTCCTAAGGCTTTTTGGGGAATATTGTCATCTTGGGGTTTGTCAACCAGGAGGTCAGAGTGGCCCAGTGTTGTAACCTCTCTGAGATTGTGGCAGGAAAGAGCTGCCACAAGCCCCTTTCCTACTGAATAATGTTTGGGCTGTTCCATGTGTTGGACATTCCAGATCATTTAGAGCTAGGTAGCTACTGCATGAGACTTTCCTTGGCTGTGGCCAGTTAGCTCTCAGCTGAGCTTCCTAGGGCCAGAGGTTACTGTAGTATAAATTGAAGTAAAAATAGATAATTGCTTTGTACACACACAAAAAATGTAATGATGGTGCTAATTTCCTGGTATAAATAAGCACTGCCAAGGGTTGAGGAACTGGCAACTTGAGAAACCCAAGTTCCTATTTGGGAGGAAGAGATTTTATGTAGAACAGTTTCTTTGAGGCTCTGTTAAGAGGAGAGGGCAGAGCCTCAGTGAAGCCTGTACCTGATCCTGGAGTGGTCCAGCACAATCCAGAGATGGAAGAGATGCCGTGTCCAGGTGAGGGTGACCATTGAGTTTCTCAGGGCTGATGTCAGTCACCTTGTCCATAGCCTCCTTCCACACTGCCTAGAATAGGTTGGTAGAGAGCTCCACGTGCGGGGTCTCCCTTGGTTACCTTCCACCCCTCTCTACCTCTTTCACTCTTGTGGGAACACCTCTATTGCTTATGAAGATTAAAGGTAATATTTCTTAAGGAAGTGGAAAGCTTATTTTAATTAGAAATCCACAGCCTGGGAAGAAATGTTTCCTACCAACATAAGCAAAAAACAGCACACATTAAATTCTTAAGTGGTTCCTTCTCTAGAGCTGCTTTCCCATGACTTTCCAAACATCAAGCTATTGAGGGGCTTCAGGTATAACACTATGGAATTCTAGCAAAGCTTTGTGGACAGGAGGAGAGCCCAGGGAGTAGGAGCAGAAATGAATGGTTCTGGTACTTTAGACTTCCAGGGTAGGGGCAGAGAACACGTGGTCTCCAGGTCTGGGGTGGGTGCTGCCTATGTGTGCATGTAGGTGAGAGTGTGTAGAAATGGGTGAGTGCAGCACACAGGAGCTCATGGAAGAGCAGATTTCAAAGTCTTGGAAAAGAAACAAGCTGACAATAGAGATCTATCTTTATATTTTTAAGAAAAGGGGTGTGGGGGTAACAGCTGAGGTCCATCACCTTTTTTGCTCCTCCTTCCCCCCCATAGATTGTCAGCTGTAAGTGAAACTCCCAGTGGAAAAGAGGGGAGCCCTGTGCTAGGAGTCCCCATAAACATGTACTGTAATTCTTTGTATATAGAAAAAAATTACTGTAAAGTAAAGTTTAACTTTACTCTTACGGCCCTTGCCCTGTGTTGTGTTTTGTTGTCCATGGGGAGATGTAGCCCAACAGGAGGGAGGATGGGTTTGGGTTGAGAGCAGAAGCCAGCCCCTGCACTAGTTCCCATGTGGGACACAGTGGAGCTGAGCCCTTCCTCCAAGCATCTCATGGGAGTTGTGTGTCCACTCAGTAGTCATTAGGTGCCAGAATGCCTTTCTTTTGGGAGTGGCTAGTGTTAGTTTCAGTCCCCATACAGGAAGCCTTCATCACCCATGAAGTAAGGGTATTTTGAGGAATTGGTTTTTAAAAAGGAAGTAGAACCAGATGACTTCCTGAGTATGAGTCTGACCATCTTGGCCAAGTTTTCAGTTCTTCAGAGGCAGGTGGTGGGCACTTCAGAGGACTCAGTCTAGGCAGGAAAGCAGAGGCAAAGGGGCCAAGCCTCCATACAGGAAAGGGCTGCCATATACTTCCTTTTGGTTAAACAGGAAGTGTCAGCCCTGTTTTACAGTTAACACCTGGTCCTTCAGAAATATTTGGACCTCCAAGGGTCAAAAATACACTTTGAGGCAAGTTTGGGAGTCTGCCTCTCCTTCTGACCTAGTCCTGAACTTCTGCGCCTTCAGCAAAAAGCCCTCCAGGGAAGATAAGCCTTTAGTCCTAGAGTTACTTTTCATTCACGATCTTCAGTCCTGAACTGGGTAGTGGTTACCTCATTTTTCAAATAAATTCAGGCCAAGTGTAAGTCCCTTTTCTAAGTATCTGAATTGGATCCCAATCTGGACCCAAAAGAACTGTCTTGCAGAACCTGTGACTTTTCTACCATTAACATTGTAGGGTACTGATGGGAAGCTTAGGAATGTGAGCTACAGGCATGACTCAGGGACCTAGATGTGACAGATGTGGTAGAACCAGTCAGGCTGAGGAAAAAGTGTTTGATCCGTGATCTCTGGACACCACTTAAGTACCTGCCTTGCTCTTCTCAGCACCAAGAAGGAACTGTGAGCTTTGCACTGTCCCAACCCAAGCCTCTCACCCTACTAAAGTACAGGAAAGGGCCCTTTTGTTTTTCCATTATCTCAGCTACAACCCTGGGGTGAGGTTAACTTAGGACTGGGAGGAGCCATAATATAGGAAGTGAGGCCAGCCAGGTGACCTGAGAAAGGGGCTGAGTGTGATTCACAGTGCATTGATTTTATTTACAAATCAGAAGCCACTTAAGTAGTCTGCAGACACAAGTGCTGTCCAGGGCAGAAGCCTGGAGTCCAGATCAGCCCTTACCCTCCTGATGCCCATCAGTCAGCTCAATGCTGTGTTCCATGGGCCAGCACAGGCAGGTGCCACCTCTGCTGCCATGGGGACTTGGGGTAGCTTACACATTTGACCACCCAAGCCCAGACAAGAGCTAGGTCCAGCCCCTTGGGGAATTCCTTTAATTCCCCAAGCCAAATGAGTGCTGATTTCAGTGATGACAACAGCTGTAGAAGTAGGGGTTTGCCTTCTGGCCCAGGTCCACGCCCTTGTCCTCTGTCAAAAAGAGAGGTGGCAGCTCAGCACCATCAGTTGGGGGATCAGGTAACAAACATGAAGGGGGTTAGATGCTGAGGGCCTAGAGGAAATCCAGAGAGGCTAGGGAAGTACACACCTGTCATCACCTGGAAGGCGGCCACACTGACGTAATCCTCTGCCACTTTCTGGAAGAGCTCGTCTGGCAAGAAAAAGGACGATCAGTAAAGGCCCAGTGCCAATAGCCCTGGGATCACCCAGTGACACAGCCCTCTAGGCTCTTCTCTGCTTCCTCTGATGCCCCTGCCCATTCCTGCTGTGAGGCCCAGGACAGCACTCACCCACGCTCTGGCCTGTCTTGCTGGATGTTTCAAAGAGCTGAGCTTTGATATCTGTAAAGAAAAGTGACTAAAGCCTCATATCTGAGAATCAGGTGATCACAAAGGGAAAGTCTAGCAGTTTAGGGACTCTTCTGGACCCCACAGGTTTAGGGAGGCCAGAAAACTTTCCCAGGGCATCTCTCCATGGCAGCCAAGGGAGTCCCTACTTTCTGTGACCCACCCAAGCAGCCACTTCCCTCCCCCATCCCCAGGGAGCTGAGGAGCAGCTACTGTCTGCGTAGTCCTGGACATCGTGGAAGTCCACACGTCGACGCCGCCTGTCCTCCTCCAGCAGGTCACTCTTGGTGCCACACAGGTAGATCTGACAGCCCTGAAGCAGAAGACATGGTCAGAGTAACCCATACAGATCACCGGAGCCCCAAGCCCCTGGTCCTCTGGCGAGGTCTGACCACCTACCTCCTCTAGGTTGCGAAGTTCCTTCACCCAGAATTTTGCCCTCTCAAAGCTGCTGCTGTCCGTGAGGTCTTGTTTTCGGGCATCCAGGAAACACAACCAAGGGTCAGGGGCTATTCTCTAATACCAGCCTGGTACCCACTCCTTGTTTGAGGAACAGGCCAAAACCTCCCTTACCATAGCAGACGATGGCAGCCTTGGCGCCCCGATAGTAGATTCGGCTCATAGCCTCGTAGCGCTCAGAGCCTGCTGTGTCCTGAAGGGCAGGGGGAGGCTCAGCCCTGGCCTGAGTTACTGAGCTACTCCTCCAAGACTGAAAACTAATACGTCCTCCAGACCCCCATTTTTAAACGGGGATCTGGAGAAGAGAAATGGCCTCTATAAGGCCACAAGTCAGACACAAATAGGCACGGCTAAGACTACTGCCCAGAGGACTTACCCAAATACCCAAAGTCACCGTCCGGTCTCCAACAGACATCACCTTGGCCACGAAGGCGGCCCCGATGGTCTGCAACCAGGGGGTTGTGATGAGGACCGCGGGGGCGGGCTAGTCCTCTCCCACCCGTGCCCGGCCCCGCGAGGCGCACTCACGTTCTGATAGGGCCCCACCAGGAAGCGGTCGTGCACGTATCGCTCCACAAGGCTCGTCTTGCCCACGTACTCCTTGCCCAACATCACCACCTTGACGTCCACGCGCTGCCCGCTCATGCTCTCGGGGCCGCCTCACCCGCGTCAGGGTCCTGAGCCCCCGCGCTCGGTAAACCGGATCTCCGCTCGGGCAGGCAGCGCCCAAGCCTCAGTCTCTGCGACTCGATACACCACGTCGGGCTC